GGCCATTTTTTGGTTGCAGCCATCAGTGTTGTTTGGCAGGCCCAGGCTGGGGATTCGAACCTGCCACCTTAGGTGTATGTGGCTGGCGCGTTAGCCGCTTGAGCCACAGGCGCCGAGCCAGGATTTTTTTTTTTTTTCAATAAAATTTGGATTCATTCAAAAAGCTACACTTAAGGACCTAGAAGGCCACAGGTAATTTGCCCAAGTAACACAGGGTAGTGGTAGAGTTGAGATTTAAATTCAGACTTGTGTTCATTCTACTCTATCTCATTGTATAATGCTTGGCATAGAATAAGTGCTCAATAAATTGCCGTGAATTGGATCAGATTTCTTTTTCTGTTACAACTCAGAGCTGACTCACTGGGATTGACAGAATCCCCTCCCCTCAGTTTTTTTCCCTCTTTCTGTCTCTGTTGTTCTTCTATTATGGCCTTTCTCAATTAGACATTCCCTCTTTTTTGGGTCTTATGTTTCTTTTTATCTCTTCTGCCTGCCCCATCTTCCTGCCAGGGTATCCATCTTTCCACTCTGGGGCATCATCTTTCTGGGTAAGAGAAGAGAGACTCCAGGATGGCTGAGGAGAAGAAGTTGAAGCTCAGCAATACTGTGCTGCCCTCAGAGTCGATGAAGGTAGTGGCTGAATCAATGGGCATTGCCCAGATTCAGGAGGAGACCTGCCAGCTTCTGACAGATGAGGTCAGCTACCGCATCAAGGAGATCGCACAGGTGACCTGGCTCTCCTGTCCAACCCTGCATTGTGTCAGGATGTTTTCTGGGCCTCCTTCCTCAGGGTCTTGGGCTGACATCTGTTCTACCCACCCTAGGATGCCTTGAAATTCATGCACATGGGGAAGCGGCAGAAGCTTACCACCAGTGACATTGACTACGCACTAAAGCTAAAGAATGTTGAGGTGATCAGAAGAGACAGAAAGGGGGTGGGAGGACTGTTCTGGAAGCAGGGTGATGGAATGCTATCCTCCCAGATGGTACACGTGCCTCCAGCCAGGCCTCCACAGCTCCTTTCTCACACCAGTGTCTCTTTCTCCTGATACAGCCACTCTATGGCTTCCATGCTCAGGAGTTCATTCCTTTCCGTTTTGCCTCTGGTGGGGGCCGGGAGCTTTACTTCTATGAAGAGAAGGAGGTTGATCTGAGCGACATCATCAATACCCCTCTGCCTCGGGTGCCCCTGGATGTCTGCCTCAAAGGTTGGGGGAGGGGAGAGAAGGGTGGCAGGGAGGAGGGAAAGGAGTGATGTGTGTGGGTGTGAGGAAGCTTACAAGTAAAGAAAACCTCAGTGTGAGGTCCCTGGTGAGTTGCAAGAAAGGGAGCAGCAGCGGAAACACACCTTCCTGTTGTCCATGTTTAACTTGACACATTTCCTTCTTCACAGCTCATTGGCTGAGCATTGAAGGCTGCCAGCCAGCTATCCCAGAGAATCCACCCCCAGGTAACCTCCATGCCTAACCCTGTTTCTTCCACCCGTCCTTCCTTTACATTTCCTGCCACTCTTGTCATTGCTCCCACTGTGACTGCTTTTCCACCAGCTCCCAAAGAGCAGCAGAAGGCTGAGGCCACAGAACCCCTAAAGTCAGCCAAGCCAGGCCAAGAGGAAGATGGACCTTTGAAAGGCAAAGGTCAAGGTGCCACCCCAACCGATGGCAAAGGTCAGTGCATCTAAGCCAGGCCTCTTCTGACTCACCCCAAAGCCAGATGGTCATTTGTAAAGTGGATGAGGTCAGTACCAGAGAGTCCTAGAAAGGATTTGGAAGCCTAAAAGGATGCCAGGTCTCCTGGGTAGGGTAGAGTGGGGGAATAGAGGATTAAGGTTTGACTGGTACTGAGGCTGCTTCTGGAACTTTCTTTTTCAAATCTATCTCCCAATTCACACAGGGAAAGAAAAGAAGGCACCCCCCTTGCTGGAGGGTGCTCCCTTGCGACTGAAGCCCCGCAGCATCCATGAGCTATCTGTGGAGCAGCAGCTGTACTATAAGGAGATCACTGAGGCCTGTGTAGGATCTTGTGAGGCCAAGAGAGCGGTGAGACCCCCCAGCCTGCCCTTACCCTCAGAAACTTCCCCTCAGAGGCCCAATGACTTCTTCCCCAAGTTATCTGCCCCCACTTCACTGGGTCCCCTCTTCCCACAGGAAGCTCTGCAGAGCATTGCCACTGACCCCGGTCTCTATCAGATGCTGCCACGATTCAGTACCTTCATCTCAGAGGGGGTGAGAGAATGAGGTTCTGGGGTACAGGGACAGCAGGGATAGCTCATCCAAGGGGTCTCTCTGCCCATCACTTCTCCCTCCTATAGGTCCGAGTGAATGTGGTTCAGAACAACCTGGCCCTGCTTATCTACCTGATGCGTATGGTGAAGGCGCTGATGGACAACCCTACACTGTATCTAGAAAAATACGTGAGTGGTCTTGCCCACCTCCTTTCTTGCTGGGGTCTAGGGACCCTTTTACTACCAACAGGAAGCCATTTGTCAGTGTCAGCTGGCCTATCACTTATCCCTTAGGTGCATGAGCTGATTCCAGCTGTGATGACCTGCATTGTGAGCAGACAGCTATGCCTGCGACCAGATGTGGACAACCACTGGGCACTCCGAGACTTTGCTGCCCGCCTAGTGGCCCAAATCTGCAAGCATTTCAGCACCACTACAAACAACATCCAGTCCCGGATCACCAAGACCTTCACCAAGGTGAGCCAGGAGAACCTACCTGAGTAGCATCTGTTTTTTCATCATCCACCCAGGATTGTCCCTAGGACAAGAACTTCACCTACAGCAGGGTGGGGTACTTGTGGCTAGGGGAGATGACATGGGAACAGGGAGCAGAGGGAAGGATGACTGGTGGGGGTGGTTTAAGGGACTACAAGATGAGTCTTGTACGATTTACAAGGAAAGCGTCTTTACGAAAGACATGGATCCTTAACAATTAGCCTTTCAGATCCCTTCATCTGGGTTTATTTTGCTTCCCCTTAACAGAGCTGGGTGGATGAGAAGACCCCCTGGACAACTCGTTATGGCTCCATCGCAGGCTTGGCAGAGCTGGGACATGATGTGAGGACCTCAGGGGACGGAAAAGGGCAGGAAGGTGGTAATGAGGTTACAGAGGGCAACACCTCCCCACCTGAGACATCCCTGGTGTCTCCCTGGCCTGGCTTCCTTTCTAACAGGTAATTAAGACTTTGATCCTACCACGGCTACAGCAGGAGGGGGAGCGAATCCGCAGTGTCCTGGATGGCCCAGTGCTGAGCAACATAGACCGGATTGGAGCAGACCATGTGCAAAGCCTCCTCCTGGTGACCAGAGCCCCCTGCCCCTGCTGTCCTTTTATTGACCCCTCCCTTCCCCTACACACAGGTGGTGCTTAGCAAGCATATGGCCTATTCACTTACTCCATTTTTTGCCTCTCATTGAGGCATAAACAGGCTAAGTAAGCAATGAGGGGTGGTCCCCTCAGCCTATGACTCCTAGACTGCTGGCTGATGTAGTGTTTGACCCACTCTGAGAGGCACATGCTATCTGGACCATCCCATAAATGTTACAAGTGTATTTAGCAAGTTCTCCTTACCAGGTGGTACCTGTGTATTGTTAACAAAGAAAAAACAGTATCTTTTACATAGTTAGCCTAGCATAGTTTGGCCTCCATCAGACCCTTTCCTCACTGCTTTTTGGAATATCAGCTCTCCTTCTACTTAGCTTTTCTCTGCTTTCTGTCTGCAGAAACACTGTGCCCCTGTTCTGGCAAAGCTGCGTCCACCACCTGACAATCAGGATGCCTATCGGGCAGAATTTGGGTCCCTTGGGCCCCTCCTGTGTTCTCATGTGGTTAAGGCCCGGGCCCAGGCTGCTCTGCAGGCTCAGCAAGTCAACAGGACCACTCTAACCATCACACAGGTCAGTGGCTGAGTGGGGATGAGAACCTAAGGGTGGGACAGGGCCGTGGTACCCACCAGAACACTCACTCACTCAGACATGCGCAGGTGGGCCAAGTCAGCAGTCTCCAGAGTTCAGCCCCTTAGGGATGATGCTGCACTGAGGAAGAGCAAGAGCCCAGGCCTCTCCCTTCAGGTTCTTTTTTCTTACATGTTTTTCTCTTGCCTCTTCTTTCTGCAGCCCCGGCCCACATTGACTCTCTCACAGGCCCCTCAGCCTGGCCCTCGGACCCCTGGCTTGCTGAAGGTCCCTGGCTCTATTGCACTGCCTGTCCAGACACTGGTGTCTGCACGAGCTGCTGCTCCACCTCAGCCTTCTCCTCCTCCAACCAAGTTTATTGTAATGTCATCTTCCAGTGCCTCATCCACCCAACAGGTATGTGGATGAGGGATGGTTAAGAAGCACCCCAGGGGGCCCAGTCACCTCATAGCACCCTGGGAAGGCCCCCAAGTAGTGGCAGTCTCCTCCCTCCCACTCAACACCAGATGGAATGGGCACATACCAGGGTCCTTTAGGACTGAAGCTGCCAAGCCTGGACAAGGCCTTAAGCTTTAGCAGCCTACACAGACCCAAGAATAGGAATGGAGTGTTTTGGGGAAGGGGGAGCAAGTATCCCCTATAAGGCCTCTGGGGCATGGGAAGCACAAGGTAATGGACAGACACTGCCTTTCTTTCTTTTTTTTTTTTTTTTTGAGTGCCAAGGCATCGTAGCTCACAGCAACCTTAAATTTTTGGGCTCAAGTGATTCTCTTGCCTCAGCCTCCTGAATAGTTGGGACTACAGGTGCCTGCTACAGTGTCCGGCTATTTTTTTTTTTTTTTTTAGAGACAAGGTTTCACTCTTGTTTAGGCTGGTCTTGAACCCGAGAGCTCAAGCATTGCACCCACCTTGGTCTCTCAGAGTGGTAGGATTACAGGTGTGGGCTATTGTGCCCCCCCTACACTGCCTTTCTTTTTTTTTTTTTTTTTTGAGACAGAGCCTCAAGCTGTCCCC